ATGGACCTTGGGAAGTGGAGAATTCCATGATCATGTCGTGAATAATAAATTTCATGGAGATTTCTATTGGTCGATCATATATGTTCCTTTCATTAGTGCCTTCTGGACTACAGTTCATGATAATTACTTAGATATAGGAAATTTCAGCAAAATTTATGAGGTATCGTAGAAAATCTATGAGGTAAAATAAGGATTGAGAACTGTGAGCCAATACTACAATGATTTAATTGCATTAGGGATGAAATGCGACCTATATTATGACTACATATGGAAATTTGCGGCCAACCTATCTCTCTTCCTCAAAATTGTAGAAAAGGACCACATTTTTCAATTTTTGACAGCCTTCAACAAAAATCTTGACGAAGTCCGGGGTCATATTCTTGGTCGAGATCATTTTTCTTCCACTCTGCTGCCTTCACTAACTTTCGTCTCGAAAAGAGTCAGAGACTTATCTTGTTTTTCTTGGTATTTTCTTGGATACTCTGCCACTCAAAGGGGTATTGGTGTTTTGACCTTGCCACAAGTAAACTCTATGTCAGTGTTGATGTCTTTTTTTGAAAATGTTTCCTACTTTCCTAACTCGGACTCCAGTGAGGGGGAGCTAAAGTTCTTGAACACTTTTCCTTACCCTACCTCTGTGGTTATTCCCCCTCGTAACCTACCATCGAGGATCCCTTTGTTTCTTTGGTTCTACCCACGTCTCCTACCACCAAGGAGCCCTCTGTCTCTTTGGTTCCACTAGCACATCCTCCCACTCTTTGTTTCTACACTCGACGCACTTGTTCTGATGTACCTAATTTGGAGCTGGCTAACCCCTTGTTGGACCCTAAATCCTCTTCGGACAACATCCCCAAGACTGCTCCTACTCGAAATGAGAAAGTAAGTTCCTCTAGTAAGGTACGCAATCAAACATGCTCTCTATACCGTGTCAAACTATGTTTCTTTTCATAGATTTTCACCAACCTACATAGTATTTGACCAATCTTCAAATTCCATCTACTATTGAGGCTACCTTAGCATATTCAGCCTGGGAAGCTACTGCATGGAGGAGATGAATGTCATTCATCAGAACTATACTTGGGATATTGTTGATCTTCCTTAGGGCAAGAAAACAGTGGGATGCCGAAGGATTTTAGCATCAAGTTTAAATCTGATAGGTCCTTTAACGCAAAAAAAACACGGTTGGTTGCCAAAGGATATTCACAGACTTACAGAGTTGATTATAAGGAGACATTTGCTTCAATTGCTAAATTAAACACCATCCTGGTCCTTTATACCTTGCAATGAATCTGGATTGGCCCTTATTCTAGCTTGATGTTAAGAATGCGTTTCTGAATGACGATCTTACAGAGGAGGTATACATGGCTCTCCCTCCAGGCTTTGACTACACCCAGGGCAAAGTATCTAGGCTGCGAAAATCCCTCTATAGATTGAAGCAAACACCACAAACATGGTTTGGGAAGGCTATGGATTCACTTAGGTTTAATCGGACACCAATCTCTTCTTCCGATATTTCCTTTTTTTTTTCTTTATTATGTTTTTTTTGTTTCCTTACTAGTAGATCCTGTAATGGGTATTTATACCCCTCTTTGCATCAATAAGAAACACCCCGTTCTATTCTAACAGTAGTAGTTGGGAATTTTAATATAGAAAGGATAAATCAATAAATGATTTTGTTAAAGTTAAGATTAGAGTTGACAAGGTGACTAAAACTAGTATTAAGTGCTTTCAATTTATACAATGAAAGTTATAAAATGCATTTGCTAAATGACCAGATAAAATTAGTTTCAACGATTTTGATTGTAAAAGCGGTTCATCTAAAGTTACATGAATGTAAATTATTTAAAATAATTCATGAATAATATGTTCAACACCTTAGGCTACACTCATGGAACAACTGAAAAATGGGGATTCACAACACTAACCCCAGATAATTGGGATAAGGCTAATGATGATGATGATACAGTACAAGATACGCATATCTAGCAAAAATGTTTTAACTGAGCCATAATCTTTCACGCATATGCAATGAAGAGTCAATGAGTGATAATTCTTCAATGTTATTGAACGCATTCATTGTGAGACTCCAAAGAAAAAATGATGAAGTTTTAACGATATTGTAAAAGTACAAAGTCATTGGAAAATCTCCTAAAAGGAGCATGGAATGGAATCGGTGTAATAACCTTTATTTTCGATAAAACCCATGGTTGAACCAAGGAGGGTATGGGTGGCCCTAATCTCCCCTTATGCGTGGGATAGATTCACTTGCAACTTTGTATAGTTTTGAAACTTCACCCACTAATCATTTTGCACTTATGTACAGTATTGAGGCTTCTCTCCACTGAAATTTACATTAATCCTTTCACCGTTCAACCATTTATGTAATGATAATGCCATCACTTTTTGTGTTAATTATTGCCATCCGATAGTAGTGTTTTTTTTTTACCACTAGGTTGGTTACTCAATATTTATCTTCTAATTGGGAAAATTAGTTACGACCACTTAAAAAAGTTCTCTCGATTCGGTTGTCCAATTTAAAATTTAGGTTAGACGCTTGGTGGAAATTTGTGCCATAAATGTCACATGTTTCTGATCAGGGTTAATGATACTTATTAAATTTTTTAGTATTACTCCTGTTTCAAAGCTTGGTTCTTTAGACTCAACAATCATTGTTTCGTATTTATGCAAAGAATTATTGGCATATCTTCCTAAAATATCGTCCCACATAATAGTAACCCAATTGCAATAGAGTAATGCAAAGTGATTACATGCTTGTAAAGTATATCATGCAACTTGATGCAAGATGACTTAAGTTTAGGATTTCCTAATGCAACAAGAATTATGTGAAGTATGGATCACAGAAGGTAACATAGGGAATCACAAATGACTAAACAAACCGGCAATGTTGTTTCTTTAATGTAAACGAATAAATGTAAAAATCTATGATCCGAAATCCAAATGATAATGCAATGATTGAATAAATTCTAAGTGAATTAGAAGAAATTTGTATAACATAAAATAAATTACCAATTGTAGTTTTGTCACTACAAATAGATCTTCACTTTTGTTAAACTTGAACAAATGAGAGTGGAATCCGAAGAAAGAAATCAAAGTGTTGATTTCCCTTAGAATTAAAGTCTTACCAGTATTGCACTTGAATGATCATATATTAAAATTGCACGCTTGTGATTATAATCTAGAAGAGATTGTATATGATCAATAAATTGCTTGATTAGAACATCAATATATAGGCTCTTCGTCCTTAGAATAGTAGATAGGGTTAGCACAGTATCAGCATAGTTTATGTTGAATTTAGATCAATTTTAGCCTTAATTTTAAATCCCACTCAGTACTTTATGATATATGTCGAATCACACCCCCTTGGGCATAAATGTGAGTATAAAGTAATAAAGTGACGGATTGCATCCGCACAACCGCAATGAAACCAACTAGAGTTGCTGATCTTTAATAACTCACAATTACTACAAGTTCCAAGGAAAGGACAGCCTCTTGTAACAAAGAACTGTTAAAATAGTGGACAAGGGAGGTAGTACTGTAACATAACTCATCAGCATTTAATTCCAAAAAAAATCTCTGTTAACTTCTTTGGATTTCAGTGCATTACATGCATGGGAGTTCCATAAAATAAGAGAAAAGGAGAAAACTCTAATATAAACAAGGATATCAAGGGACCTGAATAGCTATAACTTTGTGAGATATATTAGCGAACAATTTTTTTCTCAATATGTTCAAAAAATAGATTAAGCATTTGAAATGATCAAAATTTTGCCCAAAATGGGCCTTGAATGCCATAAAAAATTGATTATAATGTGTTAATCGTGTAAATAATATATTTTAGGCTAATCCACTCGATGTTACCTGCAGCGTGGAATCAAAATGATTTGAAATTTACACTGAAAGAAGGTTGTAAGCTAAGTATTAGATAAATCTTGAAGGGTTGATGTTGGAATTAGAGAATATAGAGATATACTGATTGAGAAGCAGCTCAGCCATTAGGCTTTTATTGAAAGAAATTGTTACAAAAAAGCAGACATAGAAGACAAGCAGTGAGTAAATTAACTTTTGGTGTGTATGTATGGTGCAATCAAATTCAAAATAATGGGCTAGGATGTTATGTTGTTGGAGTGCGAGATTTTTTTGTAATAGTAATAATATTGAACAGGAGAATGAACTTTTTCTGCATTATACACACAAATGTTTACTTATTTTATAAATTTTGCATCCTTAAGTTTTATTATTCATAAATTTATGCTAATATATTCTTTGCATCTTAACGAAGTAACAAGACCATTGTCATTTTTTAAGATTTGTAGCTAAATGATTTACAATTTTTCTAATTTTTTTCTGAAAAATTCAGATAAATAATTAATCTCAACAAGGAGTTCTCATCTTAGGTGATTATTAAAGAAGATCGTTATCGTAAAAAAGAGACATTATCCCCATGCAATTGCTGATGTTTCAAATTCTTTTTTTCATTAAAATCCTTTTTAAAAACACATAATAAAATATTTCAACAACATTAAATTTAATAAACTAGAAAATGTTTTAATATTCCATATATGCACGTTTCTAAAATTTCTTTATAACATTCAACTCCGAGCGTTTATTACACATGCATTATTGTTAGTATTTGGGATTTTGATGTGATATTCCGTAACTCTTTTTCTTTATTGAGAATCTTATGTTTACAGGATATTTTTATTGAAATTACTTAAAGAGCCATATAATGTAATTTCTATTTGTTTGAATTTTTTGTGGGTAGGCAAAATAAACAATTATAATGCAATTGAATTGTTCAGGGAAAATTTTGAAAGTTCTCCATACATAATCGCATCATTACTTTAATCCCAATTATGTGGTATCAACTTGGGCATGAAATATAATTGGGTTTCGGCTAACTTGCAATCTTTATAAAAAAGTTCAATATTTGTAGGATGTAAATCTTTAAATGTGTTCTTATGTATTTGATTTCTATTTAGGAAAAGCTATATGGAAAGACCATCACTATTGCGGACAGAGAAATGGTAGAAGAAAATGTTGATAAAATATTGACAGAAGCTTCTGAATCCGATGTAGCTTTCTTGGTTGTCGGGGATCCCTTCGGGTATATTTTCTTCCCGCTCTTTGTTCACCAAAATAATTAGTTGAATGTTGATGCCATGTACCTCTAGCTGTTTTGTTTGGGGCATTTACAAACAGGCACAATTCTTAAGTATTTACATATCTCACACTTAAACTTTCATATTTACGCACATAGCACTCAAATCTTTAATATAACTTAAAAAATAACACTATTACCACTTTTAAAAGTGAAATACATCTTTCATGCATATGTTTAAAGCATCAATGTGCTATGTATATAAATATGAAAGTTTAGGTGCGAGTGAGGTATGTAAATACATAGAAATGGTGTGCTGTGTATGTAAATTTTTCTTGCCCCCCCCCCCCCCCCCCACTGTGGTTACTTACAAGTATTATTATTGGTACTTAGAGCAACAACCCATTCTGACTTGGTTGTCCGTGCGAGGAAGTTGTTGGTGGAAGTCAAAGTGATTCACAATGCGTCAATAATGAATGCGATTGGGGTTTGTGGTTTGCAATTATATCGTTATGGTGAAACGGTATCCATACCTTTCTTTACGGATACATGGAGACCTTACAGCTTCTATGAAAAAATTCAGAGAAATATAGAGCTTGGATTGCATACTCTTTGTTTATTAGGTATGTTGTGCAATTATTTTTTGGAGAAATTTACATACCTAGCACAAATTTTTATGTATTTACATGCCACACACCTAAACTTTTATATTCACATACAAAGCACTTTGGTTCTTTAAACCCATGCATGATAAGGTGTATTTCACTTTAAAAAGTGATAATAGTTCTATTTTTTATGTGGTATTAAAGATTTGAGCGCTACTACGTGTGGAAATATGAAAGTTTAGGTATAGAATTGTGTGCTATGTATGTAAAAACCCCTTGTTTTTTATTTGACATGCAATTGTTGAGTGAGAATTTTATTTCAGAAGTCCACCAATTTATCCAAGCTGTGCAAGTTATAGAATTTAACATCAGAGCTATTTAGATTTTCTAAATCTGGTTTTTTTTCTGGAAAATTTACATTCGGAGCTCAAAATTCTCACATATTTACATATCTCACACCTAAACTTTAATATTTACATACAGAGTACTTTGTTTCTTTAAACATATGCTGCACATTTCACTTTTATAAAATGGTAATTAAGCTAATTTTTGATGTTGTATTAATGATTTTAGTGCTATTTGTATAAATATGAAAGTTTAGGTATGATTTATGTAATTAAACAAGAACTGTGTGCTATATATATATAAATGCCCCTTTTTTTATATTGAAATGCACTGAAAGATAATATTTGAAATTTTATGGTGCTCCTATATTGCAGATATACGTGTAAAGGAACCTTCCATTGAGTCATTATGCAGGTAAATTTCATAATTATCATTCAAATTCTGACAGATTTTGTACCCTATTTGTAGTTATTCATCTATTCAGACTAAAATTTTAGAATTTCAACCTTCTTATGGCTGACTGATCATTTCCAGAGGAAGAAAGTGTTTTGAACCACCAAGATTCATGACAATCAACACTGCTATAGAACAACTATTGGAAGTAGAAGAAGCCCTTGGAGCATGTGGTATTATCTCTTGGAGTTTTTTCTCTGTTTTCCATACTATTTATGACCTTTGAACCTTATGATAATCGACAATTTTTTATTTTTTTTGTCATTCATTCTTGCTGTATAATTAATAGTTTGTAGTAAAGATATTTTGTATAATTTAGTTTTTCTGCCATCAGTCACTATCTGATACATGCATTCTTTATGTATAAACCTTTTTATCACATACCGCACAATTCTTACATATCTACATATTTAACACCTAAACTTTGATATTTACGTATATAATACTTTAGTGTCGTAATCACGTCAAAATAATGTTTTGAAAGATATATTGCATTTTAAAAATGTTAATATTACTGGTATTTGGATGTTATATTTATAAATATCAAAATTTACTGGTTAGAAATGTAAGTTAGATTTGTCTGGCTCGCATGCAAATCTCTAAAAAAACAATAAATATGATTAAACAGATTTGGAGTTGGCATTCCCTGATTTTTCCTTGGTTTTACGTTTGATCGTGCATTTAATGATTAATATTTATGCATTTAAATTGAAAATCTCTTTTACTAATAACATAAAAATTTATGTGATATCATTCATTGTCTGACAGTTTATGGTAAAAATTCAAGATGTGTCGGTCTTGCTCGGGTTGGTAATGAGGATCAAGTGATAGTCGCCGGTTCGATGGAAGATCTGCTCGATTTTGATTTTGGAGCACCTCTTCATTGCCTCGTGATCGTCGGCGAGACTCATCCTGTGGAAGAAGAGATGTTGGAGTTCTATTCAATCAAGTAAAAGTTAAGTTCTGCATCTCCATCGCTTTACAATACCACATATCAGAACTTGTATGGCTCTTTTAATGCATTATATTGGTTCTGGATTGATTTGGCCTGCATTTTCTGCCTGTTGTGTATCACTTAGCATGATTTGTTAGGTTTAACTGTTGTAACTTATTATAATCATCATCATCATTATTATTTTTGCTCCATTAATATAAGTTGAACCCAAGTCAAATGATTATCTCTGGGTGTAGATGTAAATCTGAAAGGCCATGTTCATTGTGAATGCAATTTTTGTGTATTGATATATAGTTTTTTATTTTCTGATTTATTTTAAATGGAGTATTTTGTTAGATGTTGTTTGGTTTGAACTCATTATGATGGTATGATTTGAACTTAGTTCGTTGAATTTCAATCAGTATTTGTGTAGTTTTAATTTTAAAGGAAATTGCCAATTATTGTTTATTGTTAGTTCAATTTATTCTCGTTATTGTTGCTGTTACATTATGTCAGTGTTGTTGTTATTGTGTTTACAGCTGCTGTTTTCTTTGTTTTTCTTATTGTTTTATTTATTGTTATTTCTATTTTGGAGAATTGCTAATCTCATGGAATGAGCAAAGCATGCTTATTATCCTAACATTAAAGGAACCTTTTTTTTGGTTAAAATTGTGAGTTAATAACCTAAGAATTATGTTTTTTTTTCCTAAGTTACATTTTGCAACTTATTTAGGATACATTGGTAGCTTAGACCACCCTTGACATCATTTTGGTTTCAAACTTTGTGGTTGCATCATTTTGTTCACTAAAGGACATGCTAATTAGACCAAAATGAAAAAGGAAAAAAACAATAAGCAATATGTTTTAATCAACATTGGTAGGTTTTGTTTCGAAATAAATAGTGCATATTTTTAGAAGGATCAAAACTAATACTTACATTTACTGGGAAGTATAATCTATTGATATTATTAGATTGGACCAGAAATTGAAACACTTGAATAATGTTTATAAATTGTTGGATTCTAAAAAAAAAATAAATTGTTGAAAAATTAGTTTGATAGCATCAAACTTATGTGCAAGTATTACATGCAAAACAAGTTGACATTAGTTTGGCAGAAGATATAGATCTATGGTTCTTTGGTGCAGTTGCAACTATTTGAAGAAGCCATAGTGAAACCAAAAGCCGTTGTGACTATCACAATTTTTTTTTTTTTTTTTTTTTTTTTTTTTTAGATTGCAGGCTTCTAGCAGTAGCCGCAAGTAGCTAGGTCCGGTGGTGGAACCAACCTATTTTTTGAGGGGGCAAATTGTCACCCTATACCCAACATGGGGGGAGCTAGGGCAACGATGAACAAATTGATATTTGAGGAGGGACAAAATTGATCTTTCAAGAGGGGTAAAAGACCAAATTACCCTCCTATATAAGTAAAAATATGAATTTGAGGGGGTCAAGGACCCTTTTTGGGTGCACCTCTATTTGGTGGAAAATTATAACTTTCAGCTGCAGTTTTTTGAAAACGCCAACAAATCAAAGTTTTGCCGAACAGAAAGAACTGCGGTGTAGAGCCGCGCTGCCATCTCATCACTACCTCAAACACTCCCTTAAGAAAAAATGTATGATACAGGGATGTGCATTGTTTGGTCAAAATCAGAAAATTGATTTTTGGTTTTAAAAAATTAATATTAGTTTTTCAATTTCTGGATAATTGATCTTTACTAAATTAAATAAATTAAAAAGTGTTTAATAATAGGGTTATGAAATTAAATTCACTAGACAATAAAACTAATTAAGCACATAATATACTTATTGTAGCTTTGCTTAAAATTCTTATTTTGAAGAGATATGAGTAGAAAAAAAAAAATCATATGAAATTTCTAATTTTGGACTGAACATAAAATTGTATTTATTTTAGGTCATATACTACATTGCGGTTTAGTCGAAACCGATCCAATTAAGCCAAATTATATTTCATTTCAATTTGAATGTGTTTTAGTATAAGTTTGAATGGTTTGGTTTTCTAAATTTTGGATTTAATTTTTACTAGATTTGACTAATTCTTGAAGTAATTTATCCAAATTGATTGATTGCGCACCCCTATTGCCATAAAATATCGTGAGAAGTTAAATAATCACTTTAATAGTTATGGACAAGATATTTATTTTATGTCCATGTATATTATGATAGTCTTTTGAATCTCATATTTAAGCAATATATTTCTACATTATTTTGTTATCATTATATATATTTTAAAAGATGTTAAGAAAGAACTTGAGGTTGTCTTAAGCCATAATGCACAAAGAACCCTTAATAGGGCCTTGACTTGATATTTAAATATTGAGGCATGCTATGAACTATTTATTACCAATGCAACACATTGTTCTCATTGAGAAATCATTATCTTTTCCTCTCAAGTCTATCAAACTTGTAGCAACCATTTTTGTGTACTCATGATTTATGAATGTTAGGTTGAAGATGAAATGGATGAATATTTATAAGTATAATTAGATTAGTTTAATGTTGTGGAGCTTGAATCATTATTCATCTTAAAACTTCTTTTTATGAAGCTGAGTTTATCTCTACATAATGTAGGACTTGTGCTTGAAATCAAAAGAAAGCATGGAATCATATGAAAACTTGAAGTCAAAAGAAAGTTTAAATATATTTATGAAAGTGAATGAAGTTTAGGATATAGCAAGATGTACAATTGAAATATATAATTGAATTTGATTTTGATTCTAAACTTCCATTAGAGGTTGAACGTAAAGCTTAAAATGAATCCACTGAATATAATCTTGAATTTAAATGATCTTTTGGAAGAATGAATTTATGTTTTGATGTGAAATTGAATAAATCTTGCATGTTATAGTCTATGATTGAAATGAGGTAATCATGCATGTTATGTGAAATTGAATAAATTTTGCATGTTATAGTTTAGGTTATTGTTAAGGAGAAGAGCCATTGATCCCTTCAATGGATCCATTCCCAAAAATGATAAGAGTGTTTCCTTAACCAAAACCATTATGAGAAATCTAACCATATCAAGGGAGATCCAAATTTCAGCGTAGGAGGAGGGTTCTTGGAGCAAGGAAGTACTAGAAGCTTAAGGGGAAGTGTCTTCTTCCTAAACATCATCTTCCTCTTCACTTCTTCTTCTTCAAATTCTTCTTCATTTTCTTCCTCCTTATTCTACTTCATCATTTCCTTGAGAAGAGTGTGAGGGAGCTTTTGGAAGAGCTTCTTAGAGGAAAAACTTTGCCTCTCCTTTGGACGAGGAGAGCTTCATCCTCACATTGGAGAAGGAGAAGGCTACGCTTCGTCGGCGTGTGTTAGGAGCTCGAATCAAGCCTAGGAAACGCGTCATCAACCTTCACGTAGGTGAAATCTTTAAAGCCTTTGCAATTTATTTCTTAGCAAGCATTTTAGGTCTGTTGTTAGAGAGATTAAGCTTAGGATTTTGTGTTAGAGGAGACTGCTAAATTAGGTGGCTTTTTCATTAATTTCCCCATATCAATCCATAAGCGTTCACCTTTAACCCTAGTTCCAAGATCCTAGATGGCCGGAACTGTAGTAATCTTACAGTTGATTTGGCGGCTTCACCATTTTGATAGAAGTGGTGAATCCCTCTAAACATAGAGAATGGAGAGGTTCATTCCTTTATTCTCTAGCTTATGAAAACCTTTCCACATAAAAGCCTTTAGTTTATGAAGATATTTCTTTGTGCGAAGGGGATTTTGTGGTTTAGCCAAGCAATCAGAGGCAAGTTTTTTATTGCTTTGCATAACAAAAGGTTGGTACACCTCCTCATCATTAACTTAGATCCTACGTGAGGTTGATATGACGAGTTTAATTTATCTTCAAGCGCGGTGGGTTTCACCGTTTGCATGTCCTTTAAGAGACTATGCATGTGGCATTTTGATTGTGTGATCGCTTTAATTTGATCGGTCGTCCTGACCCGATCGGTCGCCCCGACCCGATCGGTCGTCCCAACCGATTGATTGATATCTTGGGTCTGATCGACCGTCTCAATCCAATTGCCTGATTACTTTGGTACGATCGGCCGACCCGACCTAATCGATCGATCACTTTGGTCTGATCGGTCATCTCAGTTCGATCGGCGGTTCTGGTCTGTTTGACTGATCACTTTGATCCGATCAACCATCCTAATCCGATCGATCGATCACTTGGGTCTGATCGGCCATATCTCATCCCACTTGACCGATCACTTTGGTCCGATCGGTCCTCTCGACCATATCAACCGATCACTTGGGTCTGATCGTCAGTCATGGTCTGGTCCACTATTCACTTGGGCCCGATCAACCATCCTGACCAAATCGACTGGTCGTCTTGGTTCGATCGGCTGTCCCAACCCAATCTACTGATCACTTGGGTCTGATCAGGTGCCTCAACCCGATTGAAAACATAAACTTCATTTGATCCTTTGCCCAAAGTTTTTCCATGCTAAATAATTTACCTCAAAAATCTTCTTACATTAGCTTTACAACAAAATATGATCATAAAATCAAATTGATTTTACTTTATCCAAAATTTTTATTTTCACATTTTCCGTTAAAATTAGTATAACAATTTAGTGAGCTAAAAGGTTTAGCAAGCTAAACAAATTTAACACAAGACTTCAAATATTAAAAAACTAGTAAAAAAAGGTGCGTGTAAATTTTGCATGGACATAATTTGTAAAACATAGTATCATTAGCCAAATTATTACTATAATATTTAATGTTAAACTTTTCGCTGCATAAATATTTATCTTTCTATCTATATATATATATATATATATATATATATATTTATATATATAATCACT